GGTTAAAAGTAAATCTTGATTACATAATTCCAGTTTGAGGATTCTGGAATTTGAAGGCGTCTTGGAATCAACAGGTAAGGAAACATCTGGTATAAGTGGCGGTTCTCTTGACAAGCATATACCAATTTTAAGAAATTATTGATGGCCTAAGAATTATTTGAAAACTGCAAATTATACTAGAGTCACTTTTGCTTTCCAAGGTACCCATCATGCTTGTTTGTATTTCCCAAAACATGAAGCACTGAACTGGACATGGGCACATGATAAGCATTTAGTTCAAGTAATGTATTGTAAACACCCACCATATACAATGAAGACTTACTGTTGCTATTTTTGTTGTTCAGTCTTATCTGACTCTTTGTGACCCTGTGAACCATAGCACTATGCTTGTCCATGGGATTTTCTTGACAAAGATACTGAGTGATATGCCATTTCCTTTTCCAGTGGATTAAGGCAAATGGAGGTTGAATGATTCATGCAGCATCACATAGCTAGTAAATGGCTGAGGCCAGATTTGAATTCAGGTGTTCCTGACTCTAGGCTCAGTGCTGTATGCACTGAGCTACCTAAGCTGCCTCCAAAAGATATTAAAAGTTCTCGTTTAAAACTTGACTGACTCAGCTATAGAATTTCAGAGCTAGAAAGGACTTTAGAAATATAATCCAACCCTACTTATTTTACAGATGAGGAAACTGAAGCCTCAGGAAGGAGAAATGACTTTTCAGAACTAGAACCCTGATGTAATGTTTTCCAGTACTAGAGGCTCCTTGAGGGAGAATGTGTCAATAAGCCTGCGTTTACTAAGCACCCTCTATGTGCTAGGCATAGGGCTACAAAGATAGAAACAAGATAGTCTTTGTCCTCAATTCTTTTGTGTTATGTGGGGAAAGCAACATTTACACGTGTAAATAAATGCAAAAATAAAAGCTAAGTAAATAAAAGGTCATTGGGTGAGGGAAGTTTTAATTGCTGCAAGGATGAAAAAAGACCTCATGTAGGAGGTGGCACATGAACTCAGCTCTGAAACGGAAACCAAGGCTTCTAAGAGGAAAGTCAGGAGGGAATGTATCTTAGATATGGAGTATGTAAAGGCAGAGGCAGATTATGGAATGTATAGTGTAGTTGGCCTATAGGGTGTGTGAAGGGAAATATTCCATAATAAGTTTAGAAAGATAGATTTGGAGGAATTGAAATGCCAAATGTAAGAGATTGTGTCTTATTAGAGAAGTACAGGGTAGCTTCTGGAGCTTTGAAAGGAGAGTGATACCAATTGACCTGTGCTTTAGGAATATCTGTGGTCCAGTGTGGGGGGCAGATTGGAGAGAGGAGAAATGTAAGTTAAGAAGACTAGTGAGAAAGCTATTGTGATAGTCCAAGAAAGATATTCCTAGGGTTTGTGGAAAGGTAGGGACTGAAAGGAGATCAAGAGGAAGAGAGGAAAAATGTTGACAATTGATTGGATGTAGGGGATAAGAGAATGAAGACTAGCTGCCAGTATTCCAGAGCTTATAAACCTCATTGACCAGTAGAAAAGTGGTACCCTCAACATAAATTGGGGATGTCCATTCAGAAGAGGGATAGATTTGTGAGAAAAGATAAGTTCTGTTTTGTGCATAGATGACTACAGGCCAGTCCGCTGGAAATGACTAATAAGCAGGCAGTGCTGTGGATTTGTAGCTCTAGAGAGAGATTAGGGCCAGATATGTAGATAAGAGTCTTCTTCAGGGAGATGATTATTGAATCAGTAGGAACTCATGAGATCACTGCGAGAGCCTTGGTAACCCATGAGGGGTAGGAAGGAAAAAACAAAGGGATCACTCAGAAATAAGTAGAGACCAGACTTGACCCCAAAGAAGAGAGAAGACAACAAACACTACCCCTTGCCCCCTATTCTGCCTCTGAGTAGCTTTTTTATGTGTATTGGTTAATTAGGTAGATATTTTTCTTTTTTTAATTCATTATTATGATGATTATAAAGGGTGGCTCCGAGGAGGGAAAAGGATACAATGGGAAATGTAGGTGATGCAAAGACAAAATTTTTTTAAATTTTTAGATGTCTGGGTTTTTAAAAATTTATTTATTTTTAGTTTTCGACGTTCACTTCCGTAAGCTTTTGAGTTTTAAATTTTCTCCCCCACCTTCACCTTGACAGCTTGCAATCTTATATAGGCTCTACATATACATTCCTATTAAACATTTTCACATTAGTCATGTTGTAAAGAAGAATTAGAACCAATAGGAGGAATCACAAGAAAGAAAAAACAACAAAACAAGGGGGGGAAAAAGAGCAAATAGTATGCTTCAATTTGCATTCAGATGCCATAGTTCTTTCTCTGGATGTTTATAACATTTTCCATTGTGAGACTTTTGGAGATGTCTTAGATCCTTGCATTGTGGAGAAGAGCCAAGTCTATCAAAGTTAGTCATCGCACAATATGGCTGTTACTGTGTACAACGTTCTCCTGGTTCTGCTCACTTCACTCAGCATCAGTCCATATAAGTCTTTCCAGGTTTTTCTGAAGTCTGCCTGCTCATCATTTCTTATACCATAATAGTATTCCATTACCTTCATATACCACAACTTGTTCAGCCATTTCCCAATTGATGGGCATTCCCTCAATTTCCAATTCTTTGTACAGAAAGAGCTGCTATAAATATTTTTGTACATGTGGGTGCTTTTCTCATGATCTCTTTGGGATACAGCCCCAGAAATACTATTGCTGGGTCAAAGGATATACACATTTTTATAGCCCTTTGGATATAGCTCCACATTGTTCTCCAAAATGGATCAGTTCACAACTCCACCCAAAATAATTTTTTTATTAAAAAAAAAAGCAAACGGAGAATCAGAAGCCATGGGAAGTCAGGTTCAATATCCACTATAGGAAAGATCTGGGAGGACCAACAAAAGACCTTTATTATTTGGAGATTAGAAGCCTCTGAGAGAATCCCCTGGGGACAGAAGCCAGATTGCAAATATTGAGGAAAGAGAGTTGGTGGTGTGGAGGTGGAGAATATAAACCATTCTTTCTAGAAGTTGGATTGAATTCCTTTATAGGCTAAAAAGGACAATTAAAATTAGCATCTGAATCACTGGAATGTTAAAAATCTGATTTGAAATTACTTCTTGAAGTGGCTAGCATTGTAGCTGCTGTATTCCTCCATGCCTGTGCAACTGCGCCTCCCAGTGGGGAAATGAAACTCTCATATATATCTCTCCAACGTTAGTAGTTTCCATAAAGATGAGTTTAAACATTTCTAAATTGAGAATAACTACCTGGTCTGTGACTTAATGGCTGAAAAATGTCATTCATTCTGTCTCTGGAAATTGGAGGAGGAGCTTCCTAAGTTGTTTGTTGTTTTGTTTTCCCCCTCCCAACAACTGTTTTAGCACACAATTTTGAAGTCTGTGTCATCTTCCTCTTGTTCTCACACATCCAAGAATATGACCAGTGGAAATGTGAGGTCAGTGAAGGCTTTTGGTTTGTAAGGCAGGAGGTCAAAGCAAATACTTGTGCTTTTCAGTGAGCTGATTTTATCGTGATAATCTCCCAGAGAAGAACTTTGCCATGAGGTGTGCGCTGGTAGTCATGCTGTTCCCATCTAACCCTCTGGGGAAATGGCCCCATTAAATAATTTTTCCATGGTATGTTTCTTTAATAATAGTTAATTTTATATAGTTCTTCCTCTGTGCCAGGCATTGTGCTAAACGCTTTACAATTGTTATCTCATATGATTCTCAGAACAACCTTGGGAGGTAGGTGCTATTATTATCCCCCTTTTATAGGTGAGGAAACTGAGGCAAACAGAAGTTAAGTGACTTGCCCAGGGTCACACAGCTAATAGGTATCTGGGACCCGATATGAATTCAGATCTTCTGACTCCAGGCTCAATCTACAGGAGGGACCTTAGACAAGCAACTATGTTTAGACCTTCCCGGTCACATTATAAGGATATATAGTCATACATATGTTGGCTTTAAAAGGGAAAATTGATGACTGGCTGCCAGTCTGCCTGACAGTCACTTTCCCCTTGTATGTTGTTGGTGTCAGTTACCATCACCTTACAATTCTCCCATTGCCACGTTATATCCACTAGTAAATTGTTACAGGAATAAAAATAATTCTCAGTTTGGGGAATGGAAGATGATTGAGTTCCTGTACTTTGAAGCTAATATATTTTATTTGTATATATGTTCACCAGTGTGTGTGTTATTGATATGGTCTTTGCCCTAGAGGTTATCTGATGAGGATTGGTCAGCTCTCAAAAGAGACTTGAATGAGTGACCAGGTGCAAAGGCTGACTGACTGGTGCCTCTGAAAAAGAACTCTTTGGGGGAGTCAGTGTCAGACCTTCCTCTCTTCCCTCTCTGTCCTTTCACCCAAACTGTTAACTGCTTTACCCCCTGGGACCCTGAGAGACCTCCTGCACAAGGCTTTTCCAGAATGGGATCTGAGGGAATAACATTGGCAAATTAAGTGGACTAGGCAGAGACTTCTGGGAAGTGACAGGGATATTTGGACTGGAATGACCATCAGCCACCATGCATATAGCAAAACAACTCATTGGCAAAGGAAGGTCTAGTGGGTCTTAAAAGGACTTCCATTTGAAGGGACTGAATGTCCCTACAGTTTGAGTACCTGATGATTTCTGGTGTCAAAACACATACCTTGAGCCAAAAGGGCTTTCATTTTGAACTTTGTACCTATAGTCATAGTCCCCTATCTTAGGGCCTTTCTAAATTTCCTTGGCCGATGGGCACTCCCTCTCAGAGATTTCTTTGTCCACCAGGTTTCTCCCCTCAAAGACCTCTGCACCCATTAGGTGAGTTCAGGACCTTCTGTGCCTGATGGGCCCTCTGTCAAGACTACCCGTAGACTCAGGTCCTCTCTCTCAGAAGTCTCTGTGCTCTCAGGCAAATACATTGACAACTCCAGTGATCATTTTTCCTCTTCTCTCAGAGCAATTGCATTTTTCTGTTTGGTGTCTCTGAATCACAGGTCTATAAATAAAAACCCAATTGTGCAGATCCCCTGGATGAAGACAGTTCAGGCCAGAGGTGCATGGTCAGGGCCCATCAACTGAGGACTCATGTTCTGAAGACAAATTTACAGTCAGTACAGTCTGCAATCAAGTTGAGTTCATGATGATGAAGACTGGGCATCTGGGTTCAGGAGCTGTGTTTTCAGGAGCCAGACCATTGTGGGTTTACCAAGTTCTTTATCCATCTGGGCAGACACATTCACCAACAAAGGAAGAATTATATGGGCTGGCATTCTCAAACCTTGATTAGGACCTGATGCTATCCCCTTCCTAAACACATTCCCCCCCCTTTCATGTTTTGTATAATGATGTTGATTCTTTGGGGCTCTGCTTAGTTCTTCCTCGTTACTATCAGACAGAAAGCTAAAGCCTGTGAGCTTAAGTTGGATCTCTTGGTTCTCAGGCCTGCTCTCAAAGTTCCCATCCTTTTAGTTTAATATCCCTTAGAGGCCTTCTGTCTGGGGCTAGGGTGCTGTGGGTAGGAGGTATCATACTTTACTTGACTTAGTCCTCCACCAGAAGCCTAATGAAGCCTCTCACTGGAGAGTTCAGGGCTCTGGTCCCTTTCCTACCTCAAGGTCAGACTCATTTCTCATCTGCAGCCCAGCTGACCATAAAGAACAAAGGTAGGTTTCAAAGAAAAACGTCAGCTGACTGACCGAATGGAAAGTGCTGAATTGGGAGTCATAGGATCTGAGTTCAAATCCTAGTCTTAACCACTCACTACTTGTATGACTTTAGGAAAGTCACTTACCACGATGTGCCTCAATTTCATTATTTGTTAAATGGAAGGTTTTGATTAATGACCACCCCACTCTGGCTCCATCATTTCTTGGGTGTGTTTGAAAAGGGGAAACAAATAGTCCAAAATCACTGCAAGGAAAATTATTTCACCTGACAGCCGTAGTGGCACACATGTGTAGGACGGTTTTTGGTTTTGTATTTTTGGTTTGCATGCAGGTCCTCAGGCTGCCAGTAGTCTTTTTACAGGACAGAAGGGAAGCCAAACCCTGAGCTGCCCAGCAAAGAGATTTCCTAGGCTTTCAGATAGAGGCTCAAGCTAAAAGAAATTGGATCCCTATAAATAACCTCCGTCTTTCATGCTATGGAAGACCCAGGGTGCCAAGTCCTTAGAAGGGAGATTAGCAGCAAGGGCTTCTCTCCCTCCTCCATAAGGAAAAGGAAGTATCCCCCCCTTTCTCCCCACCCTCACCCCAGCTCAATGCGTGCAGTGTATTGGTCATGAGAGAGGTCATCAGGCTGTTAGGAGAGTGAAGAGACAATGAAATGTTGGGAGTGTCACATTCTCTGCTCTACTGATGTCCCTGGAACCCTTCTTTTGCATGAATGAATAAGCGATTGAATTATTTATTAAGCACTTATTGTATACAAGGCACTGTGCTAAGAGCTAGGGATACAAATAGAAATGATAGTCCTTGTTCCCAAGGAGCTCACATTCTAATTGAAGATATAAATATAGATGATTTCAACTGCCAGTTAGATGAAAAGGTCCCATGGTCCTTAGGCTACAGTGGTAAAGCAACCTTTTTAATATATCCACTGATAAAATCATCAGTTTCTGATGTTGAACCATTTGGCAGTGCCAAGGACTGGTAGCAAGGACTTTTTTCTGGATCTTCAGTAGAGATGGCTGCAGCATCTGCAGGAGCAGTTGTCAGTTTGCATCTCTACACATGTTCTTTCCCAGGATGCTGAAAGCATTGATGTTCCAAAGACTCCAAAGTTCAGGATCCTGGGCAGTCTCTATCAAGGTCGAAAAGGAGATGGTAGTCATGATGGTAGTAGTGGTAGTGGTTTGACTTGTTGGCCCATGCTGCCCCATGTCTCCCTCAGGGTGCCTTGTTGCTTCAGTTTTGGCAGTGCCCTTCCTGACTAGGCAGCCCACCCAACTCCCAGACATCCCTGCTTACCCAGAAAAAGGAGAGCAGGAGTGAAGTTCAGTTAAGTTGAGAAAAGCCCATGCGTAGTCAATGGGATCATGGTTGGACCTTAGCTCTTACTGTATTCAGAAGGGATAAGGGGGCTGGGGCAAGGATAGTGGAAAGATCTTTTCCCCCCTCTTGGCCCATTGAATAGGTCCACACTCCTGACTAGTCAGCATTTTTCCCTCTAGGGACATAACTTTGCAGGGTATAGTTTACATTAGGATGTCATGACACTGACCTGACAGTATTGAAGACTCAGGTTCTGGCAGTGAGTAGTCTTCAGGAGCCTAGATTTATGTTCAGATCCCACCTGAGAAAAAGAATATCAAAATTATGTTCTATATTTGACATAGATATTTGGAAAATATAGGGGCTAATTTGATGGCTTAAGTAAAGGGAAAGAGGCAGCATGGTGTAGACAGGTGCAGCCTCGAGGCCACTGGTTCCCCATCTTTGGTATGGGAGATAGAGAGCTGGCCTTGGAACCAGGAAAACCTTAGTTCGAGTCCCTCCTCTGACACGTACTGGCTGTGTGACCCTGGGTAAGCCAATTAATTTCTCATTGCTCTAAAGAATTCTCTGAAATTCTTTTAAGTTGCACAGAAGCTGCCATTCTGCATTGGCTGAAAGTTTCCTCATTCAAGAGTTTTCTCATATCATTGAAATGACAGGTACAGTCCCTATCACCAAATACAGGGAACAGAGATACCCACATGTTATGCCCAATATCCTGGTCAGCCTCATCTGACCAGCAGTTGTGTTTTTTGTTTTGTTTTTATCTTCTATCTGCTCTTAATTTTTTGGATGCCTTTAATTTCTACACATCCCGTTCACTCTCCTTCTAGCCTTCCATCTAAAGTGCCTTTTCCTTTTACCAAAGTTTAGAAAAGGTGGAGGGTGATAGAACGTTCAGGAGAAGTACCAACATAACAACATCCAATTGTATATGCAGTATTCCACACCTATAGGGCTCCCTCACTACCACCTCAGAAATGAAAGAAGAGAGGTACATTTTCTCAACTTTCTGGAATCAGGTTTGATCATTACCAGTTACACAGTGTTCAATTTTATCTTAATATTCTTTTCTTTTACATGATTAATCTCCCCACATTTTTCTGAATTCTTTATCTTCCTCATTTCTGATGGGATTCCTTGTTTATTAACAATATGCTCATTGCACAAACAAGAAGAGAGGCTGTCTATGAATGGATGCCTTTTGCTTTTTAGTGTTACAAGAGCTAGTAATCTCTAGTATGGGGCAACAGGACAAGGCAATGGATGGATTTAGACACTTGATCTTAACCTGAGTAGGCCAAGAAGGCCATGGTGGCTTTATACAGATTTTTTTGGCTTTTCAGTACCCAGTGGTTCCCACCCCCTATCACAGATAGGCAATCAGGTTTCATCCAGCTGAGCTGTCACCTGGAAATAGTGGTAAGGAACCCTTTCATAAGACCCAGGATTTGGGATTGCAGGCTTGGGTTGTGGGGGAAGTAGGTGGGAGTTTCACCTCCCAGTGCAGCCAAAGCTTTGTTTCTGTTCCAATAAACCATGTCTTAAGTTCTCACTGTTAGCCTAACAATGGTTCTTTTTTCCATGAAGGTCTCATTTGCAGCCGTAGTTTTAGCATTCTTTGTTGTGTGTGCCCAAGGCCCATTGTAGTTGAGAAGATGACATTTGGACAAGGGAAGAAGCCAAGGAGTACTTTAGTATTCAGTTTTTTTCTGAATAACTTAGCCACATAATGTCCTGTAAACTGTGTCCAGTTTGATTATAAATGTGAAATGGGACTAAATTTTTGAACAATAGAACAGCCAGTTGCTGAGAACCATGTTGCTCATAAATTTATTAGTGATTACAAAGTCCATAATTACTTCCCCATGATCCTCTTTGCAGATCCTCAGTCCCCTTCTCCAGACCATCATGAATTCTTCCATAGACACAGACATCCCTGTCTGCCTTACAGATTCCTGAGCACGATAGGATTTCCTCCTTCCCCCCCCAACCCCTACCTTCTTGCAGACTGTTGTGCTCCCTTATACCTAGACTTGCTACAGATCTTTGAGCCTTTTTCATGTCCCCTTTAGAGATCCCTGGGCCCCTTATAGATCTCTATATGGCACTGTGATATTTGAGAACATTTAACTGAAAATGCCAAAAAAAAAGTGTTATATATATGGAAAAAATTTAAAGTAATGCACATGCCCTGTACTCCTAGTATGCATTAAGCAGAGGTCATGGATAAATGTCCTGGAGCACTTAAGAGCCATGGGAAATGATTCATACCTCTCATCAGAGACACCACCTTGACGTAAAAGGCCCAGATAAATATCTGGGACCTTCTACTTCTCTGGTCCATTATCCCTATGCAGGTGGGTACCCGGGAATGTCAGTTATCTGGTACTCCCTAAGGGAAGCCACCAGCTACCCTTACAAGGCTCACATGGTTTCACAATATAAAACAGTTTAATTTAGCATATAAAAGGACACAGAAAGGACTCACAATGTAATAACCCATAGAGATTTAAGAAATCACACTCCTCTCCCTCCACAAGGCCACATTTCTCCCCCCAAATACCTGTATTGCTATAGTGACTTAAGAGTACTGCCCTGAGTTAGATTCCAGTAAGGTGGGCGACTGAGGATGACTCGCCTGTGCTTGTGCTCTATATCACATTCCTCTCACCAAACTACTCCTCTGCCTGTTGGGATTCTTGGTCTTCTGTAGCCTTCATCAGGAGGCCACCTCACTGCTGTTGCTGTACTCAGCTTTGCTTTACTACTCCCTACTCTTGAGCTCACCTCTTCTAGAAGGTGCTAATTACCTCCTCTCTAAGTACCACCTCATCCTTCCCCCTTCCCCCCACCCCCCACACACAGTCCTAACATGTTTCTTTAGCTAGCTGTGGAAATGCCTCTTCAACATTCAATTCTGTTATCTGTTTAAATCCTTCCACCAGTCTCTGATTCCCACTTGTTAGCATCTCCCACTGAGTTTTTGAGGGATTCACTGAAACACCCTCATTCTCTTTCCCTTTGTCTTTCCATTTCCCAACTTCCACTGAGGCAATTGGTTGGGTTATGCAAATTAGCCCAGGCCATCTCAGAAATCTCCAGATGGAAGTGAGGAAGAGCAGCTCCTGGCCACTGGAACCAACTACTGGTTCAGAGGGAGGATAGTCTCTTGCTACATATGGAAATGTATCTATCTTAGGACCACACACAGTCAACTAGTTTTCATTAAGCACCTACTGTGTGCCAGGCACCATGCTTACGTGCTGGTCAGAACTAGAAGGGACTGTGGAGACTATCTAGTCCAGCTCCTCAATTTAAAGATAAGAAAACTGAAGACCAAAGAGAAATTAGTTATAGCCCGATGACTTGAACTTGGGTTTCTTGACTCCCAGTACCATGAATAAACACTGATCACAACCACACACACTGACATAGATGCCTCACCCAGGTAAGGAAGAAACCTGGAGGCTATAAATAGATTGAATTCTATGTATATTTGGTCTCCTTTTGGGGGGGAGGGGAAAGAGAGGATGGGGGAGAAGTAGTTCAGAAGGAAGAGACATAAATTGTTAATGAAACAACAACAAAAAAAAAACAATAGACAAAACTAATTCCCTCCCATGTCTGAAGATCAGTCTTAGAGGAGGCCAATCCTGCTAAGCAGAACAAAGTGGTCTTACTCAGTGGACAGAACAATGAGTCCATGGGTATGAATAGGTGATTTACACAAAGGTGGCTTTGCTTTTATGGGATTTTTCTAGACAACATTAGGAAACCAGCCCTTAACTGGGTCTGCCATCCTACTGCCTCTTAGGGTCTTTTGAGGCCTAGGTCTTCATGGAGGAGAGAAATTACTGAGATTTGTTTCTAATAACCACCATCTTACTGCCACAGAGCTCCTCGAATGTGAATGAACTGGCTCCATCAGAGCTGATGGGGAAGAGGACATTTCAAGCTCCTGCTTTTAATCTGAGATATAAATAGGAATAGATAAGCTTATCTCAATCACCTAGTGTACAGTTTCTTAACCTTTTTTGTTTTGTGGATCCCTTCGGCAGTCTGGTAAAGCCTATGGATCCCTTCTCAGAATAATATTTTTAAATGCAGAAAATAAAACATAAGGTTATAAAGGAAACCAGTATTATTGAAATAAAGTTATCAACATATAATTTTTTTTTTAAACTGAATTCACAGACCCCAAGTCAAGAACCCCTGTGCTAGTGCCTGGAGAGAGCCTAGAAGAAAAGAAAAAGACCATTCACGTTTTGGAATGAAATATATTGAATTGTTGCCTTTTTCCTTCCTTGAGAAAAGAAGGTCATAGCTGGACCTATACACATGGTGATGCACGGATATGGCCAAACCAGTTCTCTGTGTCTCAAAGCTATAGATCAGGGGAAGCTAGGTGGCACAGTGGATAGAGCACTGGCCCTGGATTCAGGAGGACCTCAGTTCAAATCTGGCCTGAGGCACATAACAATCACTATCTGTGCAACTCTGGGCAAGTCACTTAACCCCAATTGCCTTACCAAAAAATAAATGAATGAATGAAAACTACAGATCAGCAACAAGACCCTGAAATGCCTTATTTAAAGCTTATAGAGAGGAGTTCTGGGTTATGTGAACAACAAAATGGAGGACTAGACATTTACTATGATCCCCATGACCTCTCAAATTTCTCCAAAATAGAAATTATGTGCTAAAGATGAAACAAATCTCTCTCCATGGTCTAGGATGCCCAGAATCCAAAAGAAGGGTAAAACAGCAGCGACAGTAACAATAACCCATGAACTGACTCTCACGGACCTGTGTTCCTTTGGCACCCCTCCCCCACTCTCCATGCTTCCAGCAAAAAGGCTGCAGTAGCATACCGAAAGACACAGCACAAGCCAACAGAGTTCATTCAACTCTCCCCCACACCCTAGTACCTCCTCCCTCTTTCCAGTACCATTGAGACTGGCTCTAGGCAGTAGAAATTTGTCATGGCCAAGGTAGACAGCCGGGTGGCTGTAGGCCCTCGGGAGCAAAAGCCTCCTGGGGGCCAGTGCCTTGTGGCACCAGCCTACAAAGCTCCAAACTGCCAATGCAGAGCCAATGAACTAAGGAACAGAGGGAGGAGGACAGGACACCAGGAGAAGACATCGGAAGGGAATTGCTGGGTAGCACTCCACTAAATCTAAGGGAAGGAGCGCACCATCTAACTGGGTCCATTTCTGACCACCCAGAAATCAGTTGGGTCAGGGACCAAGGCTGAACTGTGACTGGCCTAGCGGGGGAGGATAGTGAGATGCTTTCAGATCCAGCCCCCAAGGAAACCACAGCTAGAGGGAAAGGAGTCAGAAAGTCAGCAGTGAGGGAAAGTAAAAGAAAAAAAGATTTACCAAAGATTTCAGGAAGAAGAAAACTCAAAGACCTTGAACATAAGTAGATAAATTAACAGGAAAAAAGAGTGACTGCAGAAGGACATATGGCCTCTAGTAAATAAGTTCAGGTATCTATGAATTTTACAAACCAAAGAAAAATGAACCACACTTAATGAGACAGAACCCTAAGTAATTTGAGAACACAGAACCACAGTACACTGTCCCTGAGTGGTCCAGAAGAGCAAAAGTGTGAGAACAGAATTTTTGGCCTGCACAGCAAAAATGATGGATAGAATAGAAAACCTGGAATCTGCAATGGCAAACCTCACCAAAGGAGCAAAAGAAAATAATCGTTTGGGAATGCAAATACACAGAAGTAAAGAACAGTCTGGAAGAAGAGAAGCAAAAAACAGTAACATTAACAGAAAACTATGCTCACTATGCAAGTAAAATATGCTGATCTCAAAGGCAGGATGCGTAGAATATGAAAGGACAAAAACTTTAACACCATAACAAAGGAGATAATAGAAGAGAACTGCCCAGAAATTTTTAACATAGAAAATGAAACATCAATTGAAAGAATTCACACATCATCCCCAGAAAAAAATCCAAGGCTGCTACCTCCAAAACACATAGTGATTAAATTTAACAATTCAATCCAGAAACAAGTTCTGTAAATGATCAGGAGAAAGACTTCAAGTATAAAGGAAAGAGCATTTGATTTACACATGACTAATCTTCACCCACTAGAAAATATAGGGTGGAATGGAATCATGTTCTGTAGAGCAGTGGATCTCAGAATGCAGGCCAGGGTGACCTACCCTACAATTTTGAGTTTAAACATATGTGAAAGAAGATGGATATTCAATAATAAAGAGAAGTTTGAACAGAAGTGCAGAAGTGAATAAATGCAACCAGCAAAGATAGCAGCAGCAACAGAATGACAACAGAGAGGCCGATGTAAAATTTCTTTCTAAATGTACTCAAGGAGACAGGAGTAAAGGCAGAAATCTGGTAGAAGTAATAGTGGAGATAGATGGGAGAATTATGGTCAAAATCAGGTGACACCCTGCCTATATGTGAATCAGTGTTTTCAGGCAATTTTTTTGGGGGAGGGGGCTAGATTACATTACAACATAGAAGGGTACATGAAAGGGAGGAGAAGAGCAAGGGATAGAGTGAATATGCCT